AATGAATCTGAGAATGTGTATTGCAAGGCTTCTGATGACCCAGGTCATATTGTTATGTTGAATCAGTTTTCTCTCTTATCCACAACTGAAGACAAAAAAAAAATGGCTTAATCTCGCGGGGTTAAGTAAAAGAAGGAATGTGGTGCAAGGAAGATTCCTTTTATGCAAGGGGACAGAGAAGCCAGGGATGACTGAAAGTGCCTGTGGGCATTCGGTCCCTATTGGTTCTCACATGGAAGGCAATGATGCCCACAGATAGCCTGTATTGTTGTCAGTTAAATGGGATCATGAGTGTCTGAAAGGTGTTTGAGAATGAACTGAAAATCATTTTCACAAGTGGATGATTACTTCTGCCACATGTTAACCGAACTCTATCAGAATGGCCCAGATTTTTGAGACTGCATTAATTGCTCTTTCAACCTTGACTGAGGTTTCTCTCTAAGAAAGGCCTTTGCTGGACTAAACTGCTACACGTATTGATTTTTCTTTCTGTATTTTTTTTCATTGTTTGTGATAAATGAAGCCTTTTACAAGTAGAGAATTTATCATTCAAGATGTAGATAGATTGCTTCATTCCTTAGAATAAAAAGGCTGGTCTAAAAATGATCTCTGCAGAAGTAATAAGTCCTTTCTTATTTCTCCAGCAGTGAATAGCTCCAGTATTCCTCACTCAATTATGTTTCTTAGCTATTCATTAGTGCTGATTTTTTCATCAAAAAGTAGTATCCTGGGCTCTTGCAGTGTGGACTAAGAGCAAATATCTTCTTTCCTATGTATGCTATCACATAATCAAAACTGAACTATAATATTTAGTGAGGTGTTTTTGGATTTTTACAGCACAAAGAAATGAACTTAGAAAACTACTCAACATTTACGTATTTAAAAATGAATAAACATGTTTTATATATCATTTTGTCTCAGGAAGCATTATTTTTCACTCTGGAAATAGATGGAATAGAAAAACAAACTAACCAACCATTTCTTAACTAAGTCTGATGGTTATTAATTTCAATATTTTATAATACAAATGCAGTAAGTAGCAGCTTCATATTTTTTTGCCCTGAAATAAACTATACATATTAAATGTTGCTTTGTACACAATGAGGAACCAGGTGACTATGACTTAAAATAGTTGTGACATTCACATTTCAATTTTGGATTGAGGAAGAATGAAGTATTAAATCATTATTTAAGAAAAGAAAACTTCAGGAGTGAGTTTAAAAGCTTAAGTCAAGGGAAAGTCATTGCAAAGTTATTGCCTTTGGTTGAAATTTCAATTTTACTTCTGAACTATATTATAAAAATGCTTTGATAATGATGGAAGAATAGTGGATGCTGTTTATTTCTACTTTACTAAGGTATTTGGCAGTGTTTACCTCAACATCCTCATAGACAAGCTGATGAAGTATAAGGTAGGTGCAGCACTGAGTGGAACTGGAGGCCGTCACTACTGATGTCCCCCAGGGGTCAATACTGGACCCAATTAGTAAACTAACCTGGTGGGACCTGGTGGGACCAAATGCACTCTCAGCAAGTTTGCAGATGACACAAGTGCAAGACACAAGATTCAGAAGTGGCTGATACAAAAAAGTATTAAGTCAGAAACCGTAATAAGCTGGAGAAACAGGCAGAGAGGAACTTATGAAGTTCACCAAAAAAAAAATGCAAAGTCTTGTGAAGCCCTGCACCGTGGGAGGAATAACCCATGCACCAGTACAGACTGGGAGGTGACAAGCTTGAGATGAGCTCTGCAGAAAGGACCTGGGGGGCCTGGCTCCCCAGGACAAGGCAGGGAGCAACTGGAGTGGGTGCAGTGAAGATCCACAGAGATGTTACAGGACTGAAGCCTCTCTCATATGTGGAAAGGCTGAGAGAGCTGATACTGATTAGCCTGAAGAGGAGAAGACTCTGAGAGATATTATCTGCATGTATATGTATACCTCATGGGAGGGTGCCAAAGGGACAAAGGCAAAGGGCACAACGGAAACACAGGAAACTCCACTTGAACATAAGACAACCCTTTCTTACTGTGAGGATGGTTAAGCACTGGAATATTTTACCTAAAGAAAGGTACAGTATTTGAAGGAAATAGCTGTTGTATGTTTTTTTTTTTTTTTT